GACGCCCCTGCCGACGCCGCGGCCGAGGCGATGGCGGCGATCGACCGGCTGTCTGCGGGGGAGCCCGGCGCGGCTGCGGTCGAGCACCCGGCCGTGGCCGAGGCGGTGCGCGCGTGCGTCGAGGCGCAGCTGCTGCCAGCGCTGCGGTCGCCGTCGGCTGAGCGGGCGCTCGAGGCGCTGCAGCGGCTTGCGGGGGGCGAGCACGGCGGCGCGTGGCAGCTGTTGGGCTGGCTCATGCCGCTCGTTGTGTCGGAGCTCGGTGGCGCCGGGGGTGGCGACACACTGAGAGAGGTGGGGGGCCCTGACGCCAGAATGCATGCGCGCGTGTTTTTCGTCACTGGCATGCGCGCATTTTGGCCTGCCTGGACGCCTGAACTGCACCGCCACCCTTAGACTGCAGCGCTGATTCCTCACCCTCTTTTCAAACACCTGCTGATTGCGAACCCCCACGCTTCCACACCCTGCCGCGCCAGGCCCGGCTGCGGGCCCACATTCGGTGCCTCTTGCTGCACGCCCTGCCACAACTGCCTCTTGACCTGCCACCCCCGGCGGCGTCCGAGGCAGCGGCAATGGCGGGTGCGCTGGTGGAGGCGCTGGGCAAGCGCCCAGACGGCACGGCAGGTGCCGCGGCTGCGGCGCTGCAACCAGCGTTGTTGCTGCTCAGCCGCCTGTTTGCACGCTGCAGCGCGGCCGCGCAGGCGCCGCTGCTGCTAAGCGCTTGCGAGTGGGCCGAGGCAGCCAGCGCGGCTGCCGCACCCACGGGGACGGCCGTGCCGGCGGCTGCAGCCCACGACGCTGCAGTGGCTGCCGCGCTGCTCATCGGCATGCGCCCCGAGCTTCTGCAGGGCGACAGCTTGAGCCGCGTTGCGGCGTCGCTGGCGCGCATCGCGGTCGCGCCCGGCAGCGGCCCCGCTCGCGAGCCCGCGGCGGTTGCGCTCGGTGCGCTCGTCAACAAGTGGCGGCCGCGCGGCAGCGAGGGAGCGGGCGAGGCGGCGGGCCTTGCGCTTGGCGTGGCCCGGGCCGTGCTGATCCCTGCTGCAGCCTCTGCCCTAAATTGGGAGCAGCAGGAGCAGCAGGAGCAGCAGGAGCAGCAGATGGCTGAAGCAGCGGCGGGCACGGCGAGCGAGCAGGCAGCGGCGGCGGCGGCGGCGGTGTCGTGCGTGTCGTGGATGGCGCGGGGACTGGCGATGCTCCGCAGCGACGCATGGCAGCAGCTGGCAGACCTGGTGCTCGGCCTTTTGCCGGGTGGCAGCGGCGGCAGCGGCGGGAACGGCGGGAGCGGCAGCAAAAGTGGGCCCGTGGCCGAGGCAGTTGCCGGTGGGGCGGCGCAGCTGTTTGAGCTGCTCGTCTCCAGCACGCCGCCGGGCGGGGCGGCCGAGGCGTGGTGCCTCGACGCGCTCAGCGCGCATGCGGCGCCCCGGCCGCTGTGGCAGCAGAAGGCGTTTGTGCTCAGCCTCAAGGCGCTGAGCGCGCGCTGCGGCCAGGTGGAGGCGGAGGCAGCCTCCGCCGGCGACGGCGCTGCATTAGCCCCGCGCCGCCGCGCGCTCGCGCTCTGCATGGCTGCGCTGCTGTCCTCTGCGCCCCGTGCCGTCTACCGCAGCGCGGCGGCCGACGTCGCCGCGCAGCTCGTGCCGTGCGCGGCGCGCATCGTCGAGGGCGAGGCCGAGGGTGGCGGCGGCTGCGGGAGCGCCGAGGGCGGCAGCTGGGAGGCGGCGCGCGAGCAGCGCCTGCAGGCCTGCCTCCTCGTCGTGGGCGACCTCCTCACAGACCCCCAGCTCCTGCCGCTGATGGAGCCCCACGCCGACGGCCTCCTCGTGCTGCTGCTGGCGCTCTCCGCGCGGCGCGGCCGCGGCACCGCCGCCGCCGCCGACGTCCGGGAGGGCGCGCTGCAGTGCCTCCTCGCCGCCATGCAGCTGCCGTACCGGCTGCTGCACCCGCACCGGCGGCGCGTGCTGCGCGGCATCGCGGCGGCGCTGGACGACGACCGGCGAGCGGTGCGGATGGCGGCGGTGCGTGCGCGCCGCGTTTGGAGCAGCACCTGATGACTTGGAGCAGCACTCTCAGTGGTGCTGGGTTGGGTTTGTCTTGTCCGTTTGCTCATGTAAAAATCAGGTTGGCGCTGTCCGCAGTGCGTATGCCACCCCTGGGCAGCTGGCAGCCACAACAACACCAGGGGTCCACCGCCGTTTGACCGACGGTCAAGGCGGTGCCGGCGTCAATGCACAAGTCACGCTCACTCTCTCGTCGCCGCGCCTGATCAGGCCACAGGGGCTGCGGCAGCCCTCCTCTCAACCCATCACACCTCCTGCGGCTGCGCCACGCTGCTCCCCGCCACCATCGACTCGGCTGTTGCGCGCACCGCTGCCGTGCGACGGGCGGTCAACCCCTGCAGGCGGTCAGCCCCATTCAACCGCCGCCAAGGCCAAATCCAAACCGCCCCATCCTTTGGCGTGTGGGCCACATCGCGGGGTCCTGCAGCCACCCAGCTGCCAACCAGGGCCAGGCGCAAATGAGGGGTCAACCCGGCCGTTGGACGGACAGTCGATGCACACATCCACGCACGAGAGGGCAGGCGGCAGCACCGCACAAGAAACCCATACGCAAGCCAGAGCGCACTAGATAGTCCACACGCTGCAGGGTCCCCTGCCGCTGACTGCGGGGAGCGGGCGCCAAGTTTGGCCGCGCGGCCCCTGGCCGGCACGGGGACGTGTGTGTGTGAAAAAACTCCAGAGCAAAGGCGGCGGCCGCAAAAACACGGCCGCCAGGCGAGGCCAACGTTGGAACGGCGCCGTAGTGCACGTGGCATACGAGGCAGGGCTGGAGAGATTGTGCCTGTGACAGTGATTGACCCTGATTGAAAACGCCACCCGCGGCATCACAGCAGCGAGCAAGCTGCCAACCACGTTCACGGGAAATGCGAAGCCTGCTGCCGTGGAGGGGCGGACACTCAACACAGGTTGGGCCACAAGGGAAGCCGGCTGATGATGATTTGTTCAGTTGCTCTGCCTGCGGCATCGCAGGGTCCTGCAGCCACCATTTTCCCAAAATCAGCAGTCAACCGCCGCACGGGCAGGCGGCCAATGCCACCCACGCCGCGCGGCGTGGGTGGCAGCACAACAGCAAACTACATACGCAATGAAAGCGCGCTATCCGGGGCGGCCATTTGATTTGATGGTTACTCCGCCCACGGCATCGTGGGATCCTATACCGGGCCGCCTTTTTCAACCTCCCGCCCGCCGCCCGGTCCGGCGGTGCGTCGGGTGCACAAGCAAGCATCACCGCATCAGCGGATGGGCAAGCAAACGGCGTGTGGGGCAGTCCAAAAAAAAGACCCGCGGCCAACCGCCGCAAAGGCCAAAAACCAAACTGCCCCACCCTTCAGCGCGCGGCTCTCCCCCGTCCCGCGCCGCAGCGCGCGCCGGCGGGGGC